TGAGATAGATGTCATTGCTTCCAAAAGGGAGAACTTGCAGAGGGAGATGGAGCGGAGAATAGTGACACAGCTTATGACTTGCATGGATGAGCCAAACCAAACTCTGAAAACAATTGATAGTGATTTTGGTCTGGAAGCCTCTGATAAAACAGCAGATATAAGGCCTGGTTATGTTCTTGTGATTGGAGCTACAATAAGGCCTGATGCGGTCGATCAAGCTCTAAGAAGGCCTGGGCGCTTCGACAAAGAGATAGCTTTAGGTGTGCCTGACAAAAATTCACGTTTGGAGATATTGTTTGTGCTGACTCGTAACCTTAGAATTGAGGGTGAATTTGACCGCTTTAGGTGTGCCTTACGAAAATTCACGTGCGGAGATATTGTCTGTGCCTTGGCGTTACAACTTGTTGTCTTCATTCCCAGGGTTGGACCGCGCTATCTTGGAGCCACGATCTATCGGGTTTTGATTTTCTCTCAGTCGAGTGGTCATCGTGCCACAACTGACTATCTTCATTCCTCGGGTCAGACTGGACAATCTTGGCGCCACGGTCTACCAGTCTTTGATTTGCACTCAGTCGGGTGATCTTAGTGTCATGATCGATCGTCTTCTTTTCTGGGGTCGGACTGGACGATCACGGTGCCACGGTCTACCGGTCTTTGATTTGCACCAGGTGATCTTAGTGCCATAGCTAGCTATCTTTATTCCCCGTGGCACCACAGTCTACCAGTATTTGATTTGTGCTCAGTCGGGTGATCTCGGTGCCACGATTGACTATCTTCATTCCCCTGGTCAAACCGGGAAATCTTGGCACCACAATCTTTGATTTGTGCCCAACCGGGTGATCTTGGTGTCACGATTGGTTGTCTTCATTCCCAAGTCATACCAGGCGATCTTCGCGTCGCAGTTGACTGGTTCTTTGATTTGCGCTTAGTCGGGCGATCTTGTCACCATTGCTGGTTGTCTTCATTCCCCTGGTTGGACCGAACAATCTTGGTGCCATGGTATACTGACCTTTGATTTGCGCTCAGTCAGGCGATCCTAATGCCATGACAAACTGTCTTCATTCCCCGGGTCGGACCGTGCGATCTTAAGGTCACAGTCTAACGATCTTTGATTTGCCCCCAACCGGACAATCTCGAGGTAGTTGCAGCAGTTAGAAGAAGCAACTTTAACCTGATGCAAGAGAAATAATTTCAGATGATAGTTCAATTAAACTCATGAAGATTTGAGATCAAATTTTTTCGAGAATAAGGGAGTTAACAGAGGGAGACAGAGTAGTATAAATTTTGTGATAAAAACATTTCAGATGGTAGTTTAGTAATATGCGAAGTTTTCGTGTTGGATAGGTAAAATTCAACATTTTCAATGTTACATATGTAAATCGCCCTTAGAATTTATTAACTAATTTTAAATAACTATATATAAGAACATTTAATTATAATTAAGTTGATAATGTATTAATTAATTATTTATCATTATTTTCATTAAATGAATGAAAATTAACTTAAATAAAATAAAATTAAAGCAAGAAACCTTTGCCCTACCTCTCTTATGGTCAAAAGAGTACTCTTGGTTTGCAACTTCTCTAAATCTCGTAATAATGTTCCAACAACCTCCATTAAATCATGAATTTAGGGGCCGTTTGGTTGTAAGTGGGATTAAGTTTAAGTAAGATTCAATTAATCTTATAAACTCAAATTTATCAAAATATGATGTGATTAAATCTCAAAAACTGTTTGATATGATAGTAAGCAAATCCAAATAAATTCTGAAAGGATTTTATCATTATTTATGAAAGAAAACATTCAAAATTAAATACTAAATAGAAAATTATATATGAACATCCAAAGCCTAAGAATGGGTAAAATAAGACATTTAGATTTATTAATAATCATTTTTTTAAACTAATCATTTATTAAATAATTATTTAATATTATTCAATTGTTAATCAATTAACTATTAATTGTGTAAATTAAAATTACATAAAATTTCATTAAATAATTTAAAATTTCAAATATTTCGTTATTCATTAATTAACTATTAAATAATCACATTAAGCTAATTTAATTATAATGAATTAAATAATATATAAATAAACTAAATAAAATTAAACAATAAATAAATAAAACCACTCCGAAACCCTCAAACCTCCAAACCCTCGCTTATGTACCTCTTTCTCGTCTTCCTCTCCGCTCCTACCAGAAACCATTCCATTGAGGACGCCATTCTTCCTCTTCGTTCGTCCAGGATTTACTAAATCCGCAGATTCACAGGATTTATTGCCAATCGGCGTCATTTTGGGATTTACGGGAGCTCTAGATTTACACAGGCGTTTTTTTCTAGTTTGGCAGGATTGAGATGAAGTCCTTTGTAAATCCTTCTTAAAATCGGCTTTCAAACGGCTCCTTAGTGTTCAGAGAGGCTGATTAGTCTGCCGGTAGAACGGGGGTGTGTCGATGGAGAAGAGGCTACGTCGCGGCGGCGGCCGCTTGCCGTTTTCGCCATCATCCGTCATGGACCGCTCCATACTGCTTCGCCGCATCAAATCTCAGAATTTATCAAATTCCTTCCCCGACTCAAATATCGTCATTCAGCGCCTTCGTGAGCACTACCCTG